TTCTCATAGACTTCTATACAACCAGAGGAGTCGCCCCCTGGTGGACATTTACAAAGAGGACTTTGACTCGTCAGTGACGTGTTCATGTGTTCATCACTTTAACGTTGCAGCTGTTGAACGTGTCCAGTCTGCAGTACTGACCGTACTCCTGGTTGAGCCCCCACAGCTTGATCTTGTTGGCTTCGTGCTGGGCCTTCTTCTTCAGCCGGCAGGCTCTGCAAACAGAGTAAAAAACCAGAGCGCCGTCATTCTCTGGAACGGGAGACTCTTAGTATTCCCGTTCTCCACATGGTCCCGTTACTGTGTCTGCTGGTTTCACAGCGAGAGCAGCTGGAGAGCGATGATTGGAGGATTTATTTTCAAACTGTGAGGCAGATTGACTGGAAAAAACCCTGCCCTCATCTCCTCGCCTCCGCTACCACTTGACTCTGAAGGGATACGGCCGGTTCGGTTTGAGAGTATTTGGTGTTTTAAAAAAGAAAAAGGCAGCAGAGCCTGAATCAATCGATGCATGTTAAATATTGATGCCTCTCATGGGGACTATTCTCCGCAGCGTGCAGAGAATTTCTCTTTTCTTGCGGCCGTGAATCAGCTGAATGAAACTTAAGGAAACAAAACAATTGTGGGCCAAAATACTCCCTCTACTTCTCTGCATGTTGAAATGTTCTTACCACAGTCCCTTCTAAAGAGGATGTGGACAACCATACAACAATTAAGCTGTTCCTAATCACGGCTGGGATGTTCCAACTTGTACCACGGTTTTTTTGAATTTGTTAATGCATTTCCCTACCTTCCCACAAGCCCCTAAACACACCATCAACACAAGAGTTAAGTCGAAACAGCCCCTGCTCGAAATGCGAAACCAAAAATAGCCCCGAAGAACACATGCTGTTCATCGCAATGGCTCACCTACAGCTGCAAATTGATTTAATCGGCGTGCTGAATGTGAACGAGACCAGCGGCTGCCTGGAAGGTAGGAAAAAACACAATTCACCAGATAAAAAAAAAAAGCTTCCGGTGCTTGGAAGGGTTGGGGAAAATGGGCGTCAGTGGTTCGTCTTTTGAAAACCTTGGAGGCGTTTCCAAATACTGCAACACTTTTGAGAATAAAGCGAGTTAATGCAGTTCATTCTGACAAAGAGGATACACAGATTCAGCCATTTTGGAGTTTGTTTTCGTTCAATAAAGACGTTATTATTATCTCCGCCATGAAAATCATGCGGGTGAGTGACTGTGCACCTCTGCGTCTTTCCACGGTTAATCTGGCTTTCTGCTTGAACAAACTGCATAATGTCTTGGGTGGTCCGTTTAAGCTCAAGGACCTCTTGTGGTTGCGGTGACTTCACACATTTTGAAGCCTTTTTTATACCGCCATCGACTGCCTGCTGACTCCTCACTCACTTCCATTAACCGGCCCCTAGCCAGCGGGGCCGCTAGTGATAACACAGCTCAGTGCGTCGCATGGCTAACGGCTAACAGAACTGCTAGTACACATACTGCTGCGTACCTCACGGCTGCTGCTCTGCGGCTCACTTTCATTGTTTTTGGACGGTGTGTTTGGCTAACCGCTAACCGCTAACATCTAACGGATTTGACAGTACAGTAGTCCTGTAGGTCTGGTCCCTGGGTCAGTGGCCAGCACATGATCTCTCTACCGCTAAGCATCCGCTGGAGGCAAACTAAGAACTCGTTGTTTTCCTCCTACGCAGGTTTCTTTATGACAAGATTGAGACAATCGTAGAATAGTCCCAGCCACCGCTAACTCTGAATTTTACACTTTACTCTCAATGCTTCTCCTTCTCTTCCATCATCATTCGATCCGATGATGTGATTCCCAGAGTCTCTCTCCTCTTTAAACTGCCTGGTGATAATGTCCTTTCCCCCAAATTCTCCTCCCTCCCACCATCCAGAGATGAACTTTCTATGACCCTCCTCTCCTCGTCTGCCTCCTCAATCCTGCCCTGATTTCCTCCTATTCAGCCTTTCATCCTGCCTCCTTCATCTCTTCTCCTCTGTTGTTTTCCTCTGCTTTCCTCCATCTTTCCTTCATTTATTCCATCCTGCTCACATCCAAGGTAAACCAATCAACTTAAAAATACACTCATGGCCTACATTTCCCAAATAATTTGTGTTGTGTATATCGTCCCTGGGGACATCTTTTGACTGTTTGCAGTAAGGCTGAAATTTAGAAGGCCATCTCCAGTATGGTACACTGTGTTTCACGGGGGAGGAGTTGAAATCAGAAGCCTCCTGACAAAAAAAAGGCTGTTTTCTTTAGATTTTTCATTCAGTCAAATCCCTAAATTCCACTGAGATTAGATGTATTTCTCAATACATTCTTCTCTCTCCATATCCTCCAGGTGAACTACTTGACTGCCCCTCATATTTGAAAACCGATCTTGAAGGCTAAAAGACTGCAGATATACAAAACCACAGAGGCACGCAGGATTCTCATCTATTTCTTTCTGCAAATTATGCACAATCGCTGAAAACCAAACCAAAATGCCCACTCATGCCAGATAAATCGATACGGAGAGTCTCCCCGGGCTCTGACTTGGTGCAGAGGATGTAAGGAGGGCAATAAGTGGAGTCTGGTACCTGGAGGCCAGCTTGTTCTTCTCCTTGCGGGACCGGGCTCGGGCCACGGCGGGCAGGTCGTTGACCGGGCCCATGCCGTCGATGGCGGCGTTGAGCTTCTGCAGCTGCTCCCCGATGTTGTGGAGCTTCTGGGGGTTTGGTGTCAGGTCGCTGGCGTCTGTCTTGCGGGCTTTGCGGCGCCCTTTTTTGCCTGGACAAAGGACAAAAGAATTCATTCAATACCCGTCTGTAAAAGTCTTTCAATCCTCAATCTTTTCAACACCCACAAACACACCAGTTTGCCAAATGTATGCTGTGCAGCCAAACGTCCACAGAAATCATACTCTGTCACCAAGAAATCCTTATAACAGGATAACCAGGCAGCAACCTGAAATGTGAAGCCGATGCTTCATGTGTTAAAGCTGCATTCTCTCTGTTGTCCACCAGGGGGCGACTCCTCTGGTTGTATAGAAGTCTGTGAGAAAATGACTCTACTTCTCTCATTATTTATTACCTCAGTAAACATTGTAAACATGAGTTTATGGTCTCAATCTCTAGTTTCAAGTCTTCTTCAATACAGCATGATGTTCATTTACTACATTATGGTCCATTTAGAGTCAAACAGACCATAAAGCAGGGGATGCTTTAGGGCGGGGCTTACTGTGATTGACAGGTCGCTACCACAGTGTTGTCCATGTTTTCATCTTACAGCTTTAACCCTTTCACAGTGTTTTCAATTTGTAGTCCGTAAACCAATGGGTGACATCACGGTGACTATGTTCACTTCTATATTCTTGCCCATGTACTTATAGTCTATGGGGATAAGACATCTAGATTGTCTTCAATTTGATGTAATTGTCCAGCTAAACAAATGGCATCATAGTTTTTTAGAAGTAGCAAATATATAGATAGATAGATAGATAGATAGATATAGATATATAGATATATATAGGACAATCCTAAATGTTATTTGTGAGGCAGTAGATAGTGGATTCTTCTGAAGAACAAAGGCTTCCAAGCTGCTGCACAGTTCACTTAGCAGGGAAGCGTTGAAAAATTCAGATTTTGACATGAAAGTTGTATGTAGGGCACATGCCTGAGGGTCCAGATCCGATTCATCTCACATGAGAGAAAAGAAATGGGACACTTTCAGCTGCAGTGTGAATATCGTGTGAATATATTTTTTTAATTTCTCCTCATTCAGTGGATCTTCACCTCTATGTGATCGGTGCTGCAACTAACAATGAATCCATCAATTATCTTTTCCTTTTTGATTGAACTATTAATGGTCTCGTCGTTGCAGTAACATGGTAGTGAACCGGTCAGTGTTGCGGTGTTCTCACCCTCTCGGCGGTACAGCGTGCTGGGTAGAGTGCTGGAGCTCCAGGACAGAGACCAGTGGACGTCTCCGCCCAGTTTCTTCTTCGTGGCCGACTCTCGGGCTCGTCGGTACTCCCAGAAACAGCGACGCTTCGCCGGACGCTCGCCCGGCTGGCTCGCCGGCTCGGCTTCCACCTCTGAAGGGAAACGACAAGAATTGTGAATTTGTGCGTCGATACAAATGCGGTAAAAGGCTTCGCAGCTGTGTCACACATCTTCAAGCAACACATTTCAGTGGAGCCGACTTTTATGAAAAATAGACAACCAACGAGGGGGAAAACATGACCTGGTCATCATTTTAGAATTAGAAATGGTTTATTGGCAAGTACGTTACACATACAAGGAATCTGGCTTGGGGATTGGTGCATAACGATAAACACAGTGCAGTAGTATAAGACATCATTTAAAAATAGAAAATGTGAAAATTTACAATAAAATATGGTAAACAAATGAGCATACGTTAAGACAAGTATGTTCGTTATGAAACAGGATTAAAGTCTCCAGCCGTGTTAGCCGTCCTACGAGTCTCAAAAGGATTCAATCGATACAAAAATAACTTCTTTGATCACCACAAGTGGATCAAAAATGTAAAGTGTAACTTAAGCGTGGAGCGAAGTTATTCGTCACATGTTCAGGGAGTTGCTCAGCGGTCCTCACTCGTTTTGGCCAGAGGGGTGAGGAAAGGTGAGAAGAAAGGTAATCATTAAGATTTATCATCTAAGGAATGTGAACCACAGTATTGGACACATTAGGTATTAAGAGCCCAGCAGAGTTATTGCAGCTACGAAATGATCAGAATTCACCCTGTAGGAACCACGAACGTCTGAAACCAAGTTTCACAGCAACCTATTAAATAGTGGTTTAGGGTATTTCCCTCCGGTGTTGACCCACCAGAGACACATCACCACTAAAGTCCTCAAAAGGTTTTACGGTCAGTAGGAGGCGTGTGACGATATGAACATTATCACAGTTATCCAGGCCAAAATAATTGCGATCCACGATCTTTGGTACCCATCTACCCAGCATCGGTGATATTGGTGACAAGAGGTGCCTGCGCACCAAAGATTATTAAAAGACAATAGCCACCCAGCCACAGCCTGGTCGCCCAGCCTGGATCTGGCAAGAGATAAAGTATCGGCTGCCGTTCCACTCCTGTGAGACTCCTAGATTCATCCTCCACCCTCCACCCTCCACGTATTATGTAGTTTTGTTTTATGTTGCAAAATGGGACTACATATATTTTTTTATATAACATTGTGTTCTTTCTTACATAAATCCTGTATTTATTCTCTGAGGATCTATGTTTCACTTCTCTACCGTGACCACAAACAACTTTTCCAAGTCGTTTGGGATGAGTTTCACAATAATGGAAATTCACCACAATCAACTTATTGTGAAGGTTTATTTATTCATTCGTGTTTTAAACCTCGATACAATCGTTCCACTGTGACACACGGCTGAATCACAAGGAACTTTGTGTATACAAGTGACTGAACTTCTGAACCATCTATAACCTCAGATTGACCTGTAGTTATAATAATAATAATAATAATAAAGCATTTCACAACATCTCCTCTCAGTTGCACCACAGAGAATCTCTCTGGTGCAACTTTTTAGTTTCATTTGCTGTAGTTGTTGTGATTCTAGCAAACACAACTTCCGTTCAACATTAATTTTTTGGCCTGCATATTCAGTGTCTCTAAAGGTTCCTCATTATTGTGTCAACATATATTTTATAATCAAAGAAATATACATTTGTGAGCGTAATCTGGTCACCTGATCACAGAGAGGCAATGATTCAAAAACAGAATCAATACTCCAGGATGTGTTATTGATATATCATGAAGAAAAACAGAGCACGGACAACGATGACAGCCATGTATAAGATATTGAATTAATGGAAGAGAAATACCCTGCCAGTTAATATGACTGACGGGTATTAATGTTTACCTGGTATGACATCACGCTGTGAACCCTAATCCCTCAAACACACGCTGTATGTCCCGATGACAAAGCCACCGCCGCTACGTGCATGTGTGCCACAAACGTCACAGGAGATTAGCCTCAGGCGTGCAGAGCCATGCATAACGGCATCATAAATAATACAACGCGCCAAGCTCCCAAACAGCCGGAGAGAGAGAGAGAGAGAGAGAGAGAGAGAGAGAGAGAGAGAGAGACGCGTCTTTCAAGATCCACCGGAGCTCAGCTAGAAAATAGCAGGATTAAATCAGACTGAAAGTTAATAAAACGTGAAGTCTGATCCTCGCCATTAGCCAGGGCTATCTGTTCCACACACACACACACACACACACACACACACACACACACACACACACACACAGAAGATGGCTTATGTAACATCATGTCGTCTGATCCTGTCTGCATATAGCGCCATTGTCTGCACTCTCCCCTCAACTCAATCTCTCTCTCCACTGACCTTTGTTTTATATATGATTAAACATAACGCGCACACACACACACACACACACACACACACACACACACACACACACAC